TCAACATGATGGCTTGCAAGTTATGTTTCCAATTCCATATACATTATTTACTCATTTCTTTATATGTTATGCACAAACCTTTGTTCTCTCTATTTATTTYCAAAACTGTTTTTGGTACCCGATWATACCCACTGTAKATTGATGAATCCCATCTGCACCTCCAATTTTCATATGCCCTTTCGATTCAACTATCTGGTTAATTAAGATAGTTTGTGGTCGATATCCCTATGAATTTTACAGACTTTTTGGGACACCAGTCTCTATAGGCTTTGCTTTTACTTTCGGACTTCCAGCATTTCATGGTAAGCTTCATAGGCAGTATACCCTTGTRTTTAAATTGGTATGTTTTATATGTGGTAGTAAAGTAGGACATAAGTATTTATTAGGCATCTTCTTATATGGGGCGGTCGTTTTGTAGTTTGCATGGATTTGACAAATTTCATGAGCCCCCAAACTGTACAACTCAGGGGATTGAAATGGGATCTTATATATGGTATTATCGGAATAGATACTAGTTTCCAACCAACTGCTCAAACTTGGCTTTTATAAATCTTCACTTAAGATTGACCTGTGAGATAAACAGGGCATGTTTGAAGTTTGAACAAGTTCGGAGTCTCTTAACATGTAGTTCTACCAGTAACAAAATCCATGTTCGATGTTTGTTTTAAGCTTATTCATATCATTTTAGTTCACTTCGATTTACCATAGCAAAAATAGAGTTCCATTTCGTTTTAAACATCAACCCCATATGAGTTTTATCTTTTCTGCTTTATTTTAGTCATGGATGAGAATGTGCGTGTGAAGTGGACAAACGAACTTACCAAACGGTTTCTAGAGATTTGTATAGAAGAGGTCAATAAGGTCGGTCGAAATGGAGGTAGTCTTCGCAAGGAGACGTGGGTGCAAGTGGCAACCAAACTTGAAGAGGTTTGCCATGTAAAACTCACCCAGAAACAACTAAAAAACCAATATGATTATTTGAAAGGAAAGTATTCGGGATGGGTGTACCTACGGAATAAAACAAGGAATCTTTATGACCCTGAAATGAATACGTTCACCCTAACTAATCAAGAATGGGAAGATTTTTTCAAGGTTAGTTTTTATTCTTTTTTATCTTTTTAGATATTATAGACAAAAACACGAGTTTTATTTACCTTCTTAATTTGGAGGCAGGGACATCCAAAGGCCCGAACATTGAAGACAGCACCATTGGCATACCCTGATTTATGTATAGCTTTGTTCGAGGGGACTTCTGCTACTGGATCTCGTGCGTATGCCCCTAGTTCAACCCGTGAGAGGATTATGATTTCATCTTCATCATTTACATCCAATATCCCTACTACTTAATAACCTGAAAATGAGGTGGATGGAGATGAGGAGGAAGGACCTTCCGTCAATATTGCAAGCACAACTCCATCTAGACCGAAGAAGAAGAGTAAAACCAAGGTCGACATGGATGAATTGGCTCTAGAAATGAAGGGTGCACTTCAAACACTTGTTACACAAAATGCCTCAAACCTAAGTGCYTGTATGGAACGGTTGAACACTCTTGACCTTGATAAAAGGGATCCTCTTTATAGAGCARCCGTTGACATTTTTGGGCAGTCAACGTTATTAAGAGAGACATGGTTGACGATCCCTTTAGACGCTGAAGAATTAACAGATTGGATTTCAAGGACGGCAAGACGATTGGGGTTCATGGATTAGTTTTTAGAATTTGAACTAGTGGCTTGGTTGTGCATTTTATATTTGAACAAACAGTCTGACTACTTGGTTATGTATTTTGGAAGTTGAACAATGAACTTTATTTGGTGATGTGTTTGATTATATTTTAATTTTATTTATGTTTTAACAGGTTTATCATGGACAATCATATCAAAACTATAATTCTCATCGTCGTATTTTTATACATGTTCTACTTGCGACAAAGGCGTTTAAAAAGGAAAAGAGATAATATGTCTGCAATGACTGGAGCTCAATTTACGAATGAGCTCGTTGAAGGTAGTGATCGGCAATGTATTGACTTATTGCGAATGTCACGTGAAGCTTTCATTCGATTATGTGATTACTTTAAAGCAAAAGGTTGGTTAACGGATAGCAAACATATATTGGTCGAAGAAAAGATGGCTATCTTCTTGATGATTATAGGTCACAATCAACGGTATAGAGTGTTGAAAAACAGGTTCCAGCACTCAACACAAACAATTCATAAAATTTTTCATGAAGTGTTGGATAAAATGATGGAGTTTGCAAAAGAGATCATAGTTCCTACATCATTCAATCCTAATCCAGACATCCCTGAGAATAATAGAAGGTTACGACGAATATTTAAGGTAAATAATAATTCAATAATATTTGTATAACTTTCCTTACTAAATTTATTTTGACTATTAGCTTTAATGTAGGGAGCAATTGGAGCCTTGGATGKAACTTTAATACATGCTATCGTCCCTATTCAAGAGCAACATTTATATAGAGGACGAGGAAAGGGTGAATGTTATCAAAATGTCTTAGCAATTTGTGATTTCAACATGGTTTTCACATTTGTTGTTGCCGGATGGGAAGGAATTGCGCATGATTCTAGAATTTTGTYTGAAGCTTTAACAGATGGTGATATTGRATTTCCATTTCCTCCTTYAGGTATACTATTGATTTTACAGGTAATATATTTGCTATATTCATTTGAACAAACATTTTATTTTATTGTTTTCAGATAAATATTACCTATGTGATGCTGCGTATACAAATACTCGAGGATWTATGGCGCCGTATCGTAATGTTAGATATTGGCTCGGAGACTTTCGTCGTCGACGAGCAATGAACAAGTATGAAAAGTTTAATCATTCTCATGCAAAACTTAGAAATGTTATTGAACGCTCTTATGGCGTCCTGAAAGCACGTTTTCCAATATTGAAAAGAATGGCATCATTTACACTTGAGGTTCAAAGAGACGTTGTTATTGCATGTTTTGCGGTTCATAACTTCATACGGAAGGAAGGTTTAAGTGATGAGCTATTTTCTGAGTATGATCAAATCAGCGAACAAGAGAACGATGGCGCAGATGAGGCTGAAGAGATTCAATCGCATGAGAGTGTCGCTGACCAAACATATATGGCTAGTTTAATAGAAGAAATTGCGACACAATTACAAAATGAATATTGATTGTAGTTGTTATAAGATTTTATTCGTGTTATCTATTGTGTGTTGAATCAATTGACGTNAAAAGAGATAATATGTCTGCAATGACTGGAGCTCAATTTACGAATGAGCTCGTTGAAGGTAGTGATCGGCAATGTATTGACTTATTGCGAATGTCACGTGAAGCTTTCATTCGATTATGTGATTACTTTAAAGCAAAAGGTTGGTTAACGGATAGCAAACATATATTGGTCGAAGAAAAGATGGCTATCTTCTTGATGATTATAGGTCACAATCAACGGTATAGAGTGTTGAAAAACAGGTTCCAGCACTCAACACAAACAATTCATAAAATTTTTCATGAAGTGTTGGATAAAATGATGGAGTTTGCAAAAGAGATCATAGTTCCTACATCATTCAATCCTAATCCAGACATCCCTGAGAATAATAGAAGGTTACGACGAATATTTAAGGTAAATAATAATTCAATAATATTTGTATAACTTTCCTTACTAAATTTATTTTGACTATTAGCTTTAATGTAGGGAGCAATTGGAGCCTTGGATGKAACTTTAATACATGCTATCGTCCCTATTCAAGAGCAACATTTATATAGAGGACGAGGAAAGGGTGAATGTTATCAAAATGTCTTAGCAATTTGTGATTTCAACATGGTTTTCACATTTGTTGTTGCCGGATGGGAAGGAATTGCGCATGATTCTAGAATTTTGTYTGAAGCTTTAACAGATGGTGATATTGRATTTCCATTTCCTCCTTYAGGTATACTATTGATTTTACAGGTAATATATTTGCTATATTCATTTGAACAAACATTTTATTTTATTGTTTTCAGATAAATATTACCTATGTGATGCTGCGTATACAAATACTCGAGGATWTATGGCGCCGTATCGTAATGTTAGATATTGGCTCGGAGACTTTCGTCGTCGACGAGCAATGAACAAGTATGAAAAGTTTAATCATTCTCATGCAAAACTTAGAAATGTTATTGAACGCTCTTATGGCGTCCTGAAAGCACGTTTTCCAATATTGAAAAGAATGGCATCATTTACACTTGAGGTTCAAAGAGACGTTGTTATTGCATGTTTTGCGGTTCATAACTTCATACGGAAGGAAGGTTTAAGTGATGAGCTATTTTCTGAGTATGATCAAATCAGCGAACAAGAGAACGATGGCGCAGATGAGGCTGAAGAGATTCAATCGCATGRGAGTGTCGCTGACCAAACATATATGGCTAGTTTAATAGAAGAAATTGCGACACAATTACAAAATGAATATTGATTGTAGTTGTTATAAGATTTTATTCGTGTTWTCTATTGTGTGTTGAATCAATTGACGTATTTCAATTGAAATTTTGAAYGTGTTAAAAATATATGGCAGTTTACAAATGGTTTAAATGATTGGATATTTCAGTTAAATTTAATTGAAATGAATTGATTCAGATTTCAGACTTCAACACCACCTGTCAGTTTACAAAATCAAACAGTCTTAATTGATTCAGATGTAAAAACAAACAGTCTGACTGATTCAAATTTCAGATTTCAGATTTCAGATTTCAGATTTCAGATTTCAGATTTCAGTCTGACGTTCAGACTTCAGCGTTCAGCCTTCAGCACCAACGAATAAGTTGCTTTTACAGGGATCCCAAACACCCACGCTAACAAACGGCAAATCCCGGTTGATTGGAGATGCTCTATAGTTCGCCGGTATCAATTCTCCGATCATCCGCCGCTTCTCGCTCCGCTTTGGTCGTTGCTTGGCCGCTCGCCCAGCGTTCATATTTACCACACCTCTTCCCGGTTCAGCAAACTGATAGTAAATTTGACAAAATCGGCGCTCGTCACAATCTAGTCAAAGTTACTACTGCCCGTACGATCACTTGTGCTTCGGCATCATCCATGGCGTCTTCTTTTAGCCCTGAGAAAGCTAGGGTTCCCCCTGCTATCGAACTTCCCGTCCCTCCTATCTCTAAGGTTTCATATTTCGAAATGTGTGTGTGCGGGCGGGGGGTTACTTGTATGCAACTTCGGATATTCATGTTCATTGCAGCATTCAATTTTCATGTGTGTGTGCTTAAATAGTATTATCTAAAATTGGGATTGTTTGGGTACTTGTAGGCATGTTAAAAATTCAATTATAGGTGCATAATTCGTAAATTCTATGAGAAATTATATGCAATTTGGACCTTTTGGGATATATATCATTGTTGTATTTTCATCTCGCGTGTGCGTCTTTTGATTATTTTCTGATGCTGGGACCTCTGCCACACATAAGTTTATGTGTGTGGATATATGCAATTGCGAGAAGTTCCTGGGATGCACTTGGCGTGAATCTTTTCATAACTTTGTGTGAGAGTTTGACCCTTGCCTGTTTCCGGATTAGAGGTAAAAATTAGCTAGATTAATTAAAGCTTTCATCTGAGCTGCACACTTGTGTATTTGGGAATACTTATATGCAATCATGAATTTTTTTGATTATCAATGCACATCTCTGTTTCCGCTGCCATTGGGGATATGTACACTATCAATTTAAAATTCGTGTGTGCATGCTGTGTTTTGATACTTCAATTTGGATTATTTATTGACATGTGATTTTTGTATTTAATTATGTGTTCTTTTATTCGCATTGCAGTTCAAGATTGGACTATGTCAGTTGTCCGTGACAGCGGACAAGGAGAGGAATATTGCTCATGCTCGTCTAGCAATTGAGGAGGCTGCTGAAAAGGGTGCCAAGCTTGTTCTTCTGCCAGTAATATTCTATTTGAGCTTTTGCTCTTTTTTCTTTATGTCTAAGTACACAAGCTTATACAATGAGACTCTACTTAGTTTTAGAGCATCATCATTATTATCCAAGGTTCATAATGGCTTGAGGTGAGGCATGGCATGGTGGCGAGCTCAAGCCTTAAGCCTTACATGCCACGGCCGAGAATGTGGTGTTCTCCAAGGCGTGACATAAGGCGTAAATATGTATGTCATATATATAATTATATATACATATATATTTTCCATTTTTTTATTCAATAATATAATGATATTAAAAATTTTATATTCATATTAGAAGAAGAAAAATCATATATATTAACTACTATTATATAAAGAGTTTGTGATCAAATATTCAAAATAGAAAGGGTTTTACAACTTCGTTTTAACCGTGAGCCTGTAACATGCGTGAATCCATGAAACTATGAAGCATGTGATTAGGTAGGTCTATAAAAGTGTAAAATCTAAAGTTCAAAGTTTGAAAACACAAAAGTTAAAAATATTAAATTTTTAAGAATAAAATGAACCAAAAACAGTCACGCTTTGGAAAAAAACGCCCCTTGTGGTGCGCCATGGTGCCCTTCAAGGCGCCATGGCGTGAGCAACGCGTTACACAAAAGCTACAGGCCTTATCATAATGTGGGAGACACATCTTACGCCATGGCGCGCCCTTTTGAATACTGTTATTATCTGAGGAGTTGACAGTGAACTTTTAAGCAGCATCTTTCTATGTACTTGAGTATTTTTGTCTTCTACTACTCTTGAAATTACGATGTGCTGCCCCTTTTTGTCACCGCCGTGGTCTATTAAAAAGCATAGCCTACCATAAGGCTGTGCCTTTCTTTGCTATCTTTCATCATTTAATACATTGTATTGGGTAATCTTCAAATTAGTATAAACTTTTCAGGATCCTGGAATTTAAACGGACAGCCCCATAGGGATCACTTGAATCGGCTTATGAGTGATAGAATAAATTAATACCTGTCTTTGCTTAGGACCATTTAGAAATGAAGTGCCAAAAGGTCTTGCATTCCTGAATGTAAAGATCTCAACTATGTGGTGGTGCATCACATAGGCAGGATATGTCCTTGTAAAGCATCTTTGTACCTCATTAGTGATCCAAACAGGATAATGGCTTTTGGCTAATGATTCCTGAAGTTTATAGAGAAATAAAATATGAAAATGAGTGGCAAAATTAGTTTCCAGTTTATGGATTTGTTGGTTTTTTGGCTATGAGTATTTTGAACTTCTTTTTCGATCCAATTACCAGTTTCAGATTTATTGACTAAAAGGGATTTGTTTTGGCTGCTATGTATTTTTTCAAGGATTCTTGTGAACTACACATGATCCTTCTCACTTCATGGTTTCTTTGAGAGGAAACTAAAATCTTGATACTCACTAAATTTGTCTTAATATTCCACAAGCTAAGGTTCTTTCTCATTGTTTATTTTTTTCCCTTGCTAATTAATTTACGGTGCAGTCTGCACTCAATATGAAAAGCTTTATAAGTACCATAATCTTGTGATTTCCCATTTCAGGAAATATGGAATAGCCCATATTCAAATGATAGCTTTCCTGTCTATGCTGAGGACATCAATGCTGGAGAGGACTCTTCTCCTTCAACAACAATGTTGTCTGAAGTTGCTCGTTCTTTGAAGATCACGATAGTCGGTGGGTCAATACCAGAAAGATGTGGGGACAAGCTGTACAATACTTGTTGCATTTTTGGTACTGATGGAAAGCTGAAGGCCAAACACAGAAAGGTACTGTTCTAAATGTGGCTTATATGCAATTGTGCCATCATTATCACTCTGTGAGGCTGGACAGAGTTTCAAATTGTTCCGAGTGCAGATGTAAGCCTACAGTTTTACTATTTTAAACCTGTCCCATCACCCATGTATATTTATCAAATGCTGACGTTGACCTCTGGATTGTTATTTGAATTAGCAAGGATGATCAAATTATTTCAGCATATATTATATTACTATTTCCCATTTTATGGAAAGGGTTTGTATCATACTTTATGAGGGTCCATGATTGCATACATACAAACTTCTGCTAAGCACTATGATATCACTACATGACAGATACACCTTTTTGATATCAATATCCCTGGAAAGATTACATTTGAAGAATCAAAAACTCTTACGGCCGGAGAAACTCCTACTGTCGTGGATACAGGTTAGTTTTGAATTTGATGCTGAAAAATTCTAATGTTTGCATCAGAATTCTCTGATTTTCTTTAATGTGTGTATTTGGTTGCTTTTATGTCTTACACACTTTGTCTTTCCCCTTTCACGTGTGTACACACCAATATGTAAGCTATGGTATTACATTCACTTTGTTGTTGGTATATTACCATCATACATCCATCATCTCAAGTGGTTCTTTTTTTTTTGAAGTATATAATATTTATATACGGCAAATGCAACAAATAAACTCACACACCCTCCTCACCTATGGTGAGGTTTGAACCCCTGACCTCCTAGAAGGCCAAGGGCTACGATACCGCTAGGCCAAAGTCCCTTTGGTTCAAGTGGTTCTTTTCTGAGCTTTATAATATGCAATTCTACATTGTTCATTATTTTTTAAGATCCTATCATCCACCCCTGTATGTCCTTTTTCCCCTAATGATTCTGGGCCTTTTTGGGGTGTATTTCTGGGCATTTGCCGCATATCAAAAGGGAAAGGATATATCAGGCACCTCTGTATTTATTTTCGGAGTAGCGACATAACCTGGTTTTATTTTCTTGGCTATTGGTATAGCTATAGCATTAGTGTTTATTTCAGTTACTTCTTATTTGTTTCGGGGATCAAGTGCATGGTGATGAGCCCCACTTTCCTTTTCTCAACTCTTTTCACATTACCTTTTCTTTTCTCAACTCTTACGAAGATCATTAATTTTCCACTTTTTTCTCCATCTCTCATCAAGTAGTAAACTGTTGATATGAAGTATAATATTATTCTAAAACATAAGTAAAGAACAACAAGCGAAATAAGTGAAGCCACCTTTAATTTATAGTTTTCTAACACTCTCATCAAGTAGTAAACTGTTGATATGAAGTATAAACGTCCAATATGAATATATTTCTAAAACATAATTAAAGAACAACAAACGAAATAAGTAAAGCCACCTTTAATTTATAGTTCTGTAACATTGTCTCTTGTAAAGAGATATGCAAGAAAAGATTTACCATAAATTTGTAATGTTGAAGGGGGGAAAAGGACAAATAGAGGAAATATATAGGCTGGTCGAGGCATAGGTAGGAATTGCTATAACATCCAACTTCGTAATACTTCTCATAAAGTTGGAGGGTATATGTTAAACATGCCTAGGTCATTATATATAGGATCCAACTGAGCTCTACAAGCGACTTAGTCGAAATATCTGCAACTTGCCTCAAGAGTGCATCCAAACTCACTCAATAGCGTCCTTTGGACATATACCTTCTCATGTATATGTCTAAAGGAAGTACAATAGTAATTAACACTATAAACCAACCAAATGTCTCAAGCGATCAAATAAAGCAAGAAAACAATATGAAGAGCCTTTGTAAAGTCACACAAGTACCTCCTCTAGCAACAACCTTTGGAGGCGTACTTCTAAACCAAAAAACCAGATGGATAATCCACGCAACCTTCTATTTTATAGCCACCTTAATATCAAGTCAATGAAGTAAGCAATGGTAAATGGTAGCATGAACAATAACATTTTGAACAAAGATCATCTTGGCCATAAAGGTGGGTTATGAGGGTACCTCCTAGCCTCTAGTATCCTCTTTAGATGAGCTAGGAATCACAAGAATTAAGCGTTTTTAGTCCTCACATTCATGCTCAAGAAATCCTTCTCGAGGTTGAAAGCCAATAAAATCCCATGTCCATTTCTAAAGTGAGTATTTTCTTATATACAAGTAATATAACCTTGCACAATCTAAGATGAATGAGAGTGGGGTGGGTGTGTAGGTGAGTGACCTGTTGGTAAAGCTTAAGCCTCTCCTAACTTGAACCTGCTCCTTTATCCAATTGGTTATCTGAAGCAGAATATTAGGCCGAGTCGCCATTCGATTGAGGTTAGAATGATCATAAATAACTTCGACCCAGCTTGAGGATGGTAATGAACTAATGATAAACATATCAAGAATAGGGGACAAAACTTCACGTCTTAAACTGGGAAAAAAGAGGAAACAAAATATGATCAAAGGGAACAAAGTACCTTATTAGACTGGGATTGTAATACATATTCCAATTTGTGACCTGGAATACTATATGAAACATCCAGAAACTCTAGCATTAAGTTTGGTAAAACCTGGACCAAAGGTCTGGGCATAACAATTACAGTTTCTTATACAGCATTTCAGGCATTTTCTTGTTTCATATGTTCAGGCATATTGTTATACGAACTACTCAAGATTTCTATCACCATTGCTTTCGGTGTAGTACATATATCTATATCAAATCTATCAATCCTGCAAGGGGTATACATTTTCCAGTAGATGTTAACGGCCTCCACCTAGCTTTGAAAATTATATGAGGGGCAGTAACCTGAACTAGGCCTTGGCAGGCTGAGTTCAAGCTCAAATAAAACAGAAGACTTGAGCAGAAATAGATTTCTGAAATGAAGGTTTGTCCTGCAAGGAACTTGGTTTAGGTAGGTATTGTGGTAGTTCACAAGCTTTTGTCAAGTTATGTTGGGCTTGCCAGGTTCGAGCCAAGTCAGATGTTTGTATTGATAGCTGTATTTCAAATGTAATTTAAAGTTCGATTCCTTTAGGAGCCTTTGACTTTAGATTCTTGTCATTAGAGTAGATGGGTTGAGCTGAGTATGAGTGAGCCTAGTCAACCTAGGTAGTGGTATCCCTGGCTGGCTTGTTTAACTCATTGATAGAACATACGAACTGAGACTAAAGTTGGGGGTTAAACAAGCATGGTACTTCGATAAGCTGGACTTACTTGCAACATTAATATACATTTATATATTAATTAGGATGTAGGCAATGAGCAAAATGTTCAGAGTTCAGATCTCTATTGGCCAAGTACCTTGAACTTTAGTGGTCAAAAGATCAAAAAAGGATTGTATGAAACTCTTACCATCTTGAGGCGAGATAATTCACTGTCTTTGTTTCTCGGAGATAACACCTATGAATCCAGATTACGAGTTGGGACCTAGGTCATGTTTGGTTTGTAGGATCGGATAGGATTTGGAATTCAATTCCATTCAAATCCCATGTTTGGTTTGAGGGATTGTATGGATTTGAAATCCGTGAATTTCATTGAAATCCCACAAACATGGAATTTAGATATCCCATCGAGGTAGTCGGTATTTCGCGGGATATGTTTGTAATACTGTTCTAAAATATGTCAAAGACACTTGTTTTGTAATAATAAATTAATAAAAAGAAAATCTAATTATTTTTATAATTATCTATAATTTGTTTTTATAAATTATTTATAAAGAATGGAATTCAATTCCATTTCAAATCCTACAAACCAAACACACTAAATATTCCAAATCCTTCTAATTTCAAATCCTCCGAATTCCAAATCTTTCCATGAAATCCAAATCCTCAATAACACTCCGTCAAACCAAACAGGCCCTTAATGTTGATAACATAGGATCTTTGTGACAGAATATTGATTTATTTATGCCACATTCTGCTACTCGTTTTATATGCGCAGATCAAAACCTTCTTTTATGTTGTGAGTATAAGTCGAAATATTGTTGCTTGCGTTACTAAGATTCTTCATTGCTAAAATTTATGCAGATGTTGGACGCATAGGTATAGGTATCTGCTATGACATTCGATTTCAGGAACTGGCCGCACTATATGCAGCTAGAGGTTTGTTATCCTCCTTCTGTTCCGTGAACATGCAACAGTTATCTTCCCTTTGTGTTTTGCTTATCTCGTTATTTTTGAGATCATCAATTATCATACAATAGCTGTATATAATTGACCATGACACCAAAGGGCCTTTGGCCTAGCAATATGTGAGTCTTTGGCCTCCTAGGAGGTCAGGGGTTCAAACCTCATCAAATGTGAGGAGAGTGTGTGAGATTTTCCGTATATAAAAATTATATAATTCGAAAAAAAAATTACCATGACATTTTATACCAAAACAGTGATGCTAGGATTATTTTCAACAAAAATTCATAAACCAGTCAGATACATTGTTAGCAGACTAGTTTAATTTTAATTGCCAATTGCAATCAGTTTGTTTTCATAAGTTGCTTCAGTTTAATTTAATTAACAACAATTACCTAATGCGTAGTTGTAGTTTAGTTTATATTTTTATAGCCTAGTAAACAAAATTCAAGTGAGTTATTGTTAACTAGTAGTTTCAATAACACTTGAATGTTTTATAGCTAATTGATCGGAATAACTTGATTATGTTTCTTAAGTTCTTTATACAATATGGGCTAAGAAATAAGACATACTTCACCGTCATCTAGACTTCATTCAGTGATCGACCTTGAGTTGAGAAACCGGATTTGATATGTTTTGAGGTAAGGGACTAAAATCTTGAAAAGCATTCTGGATCTGTGTTGCAGGATTTTGTGCCTATTGTATGTTGCAGCTGTATAATTACAAATTAGCTGTTACTTTGCTTTTTTTATTTTTGGATTTTGTTCTCAGGATTTAATATGTTTTTACCTATCAGGTGCTCACCTACTTTGTTATCCTGGGGCCTTCAACATGACTACTGGTCCACTGCATTGGGAGTTACTACAAAGGGCAAGGTACGTCTATCCCTGATTTGTTCTTAAGTTTTCTTTGTTTACCGGTGAGCATTTGGTTGTCTGGTTGTAGTTGTAAGTCTATTTGCATGAATCATTAATCAACACCCCCTCCGTTGTTCTGGTTTTCTGTGTTCTTCTATCAAGGAACTCATTTTTGCATGAAAGGGAATTATTTAGAACTCAGGATGGTATTCTATATTAGATTGAAGTCATGTCATGAGATTTATACCATGTCATGGTTATTATGGCAAGAAGGTGGTCTGAATGTGTACAAAATTGCTAGGGACAAGGCACACCTCTCGCGGTCGCGGCCTTAAGGTGAGAACAAGATTAAAAAGCACATTTTTTGTACTTTAAAACATGATTAAACACATAGAGATGTTATGCATCATGGCTTAATACTACACATAAGCCATTCTAAACCTAAATGAGTGTGTAAAGTATTCTATCAAGTAAAAGCCAGTAAACGTTTATGGTAGAACGTTAAGCAACAAAATGATGTCAAAGAAAAATAAGTTTGGAACATATAGAAGTCTCAACCACAAAATTTAATAATGTGGCAACTCAAATAATCTCATGAAGCATCATACCGTCTTCCTCGCCATCCGTACTAGTAGTTTGGTGTAATTGGTAGCAAGACATAGTCCTCTCAACGTCTCCACTGAGACCGTTATATATGAAGAGTAGGTTGAATTGTGTCTTGTTGAACCCCGTTTTTAACTCCTACAACATCATCCAAGTCCAAATCATGAAGTGACCCCCCCCTTCCATCACTTTGTGCACATTCATATATGAATGGATCCACCATCCTGAATAGATTGCCGCCTACACTCCTAATTGTTGCTTCTGCGACTATTATCTTCTATTTGGGAGGCATCAAACTTTTCCATGGTTCATGCCCTTTTTTAGATCATGATACAAGTCGTGTTATCTAAGTTAGTTCTTTCAATCATGGATGCTCCTATCTATTTTTCTTTGTGTGAATCTAACCGTGTCAATGAAAACAATATATACTTTTTCCTTCACTGGCCCGTTCCTGACCTTTCATAGGTCTGTGTGTATGTAAAAACAAGGGCCATCGATAAGTATGAAGAAAAATATTCAATAAATGTTTTATATTATTAAAAAATTGAATACAAGAAACACTAATAATTCATGGAGGAATGACTTCTTATTCTTATTTATTATAGATATGAGAGTACTTAAAATTCACATACTCTTTGTTAGGTGATTAACGGTCGAGAATGTATGAAAACACAAGGGTAATTTTGAAATCTAGAAGTATAGATAGATATGAGTTTCACCATCGACTATGATTGGTAATTTTTAAAAGGTAAGAATTTTTTTAGTTCATAACAAGAAATATGTATTATTCAGATACAAAGATAAACTTATGTGGAAGAAGTAGTCGAGAGAGTCAATGAGAGATGAATGATAAAGACGATTATCAAGGTTTTTAGGACAAGAAGTCATATGAGGATGAGTGAAAATGTGGAAGAAAAAATGATTCGTTGAGATCCAATAAGAACAAATAATGAATGAGAAAAGATGATTCGTTGAGATCCAACAATACAATATCAACTACAGAAGCAAAAAATGGCCAACAAAAACAATAGAAGCAGAAGTAGATAAAAATAGCCAACAACAACATAAACGATAAAAGTAGTTGGGCAAACAACATAAACAAATAGCAATAGCCAATAGAAGCAAAAGCATATAAAAATAGCCAAAAAAATATAGAGCAATTGCCAATAGAAGCAAAAGCAGATAAAGTTAGCCAAAAAAACATAGAGCAATAGCAAGCACATGAGCTTAAAGTTGTTATCTGTTGAATTGTTGAAACAAGGAAAAAGCAAGCAAATAAAGATAGCAAAAACCAATAGTATTTGACTCGGTACGAGATAAAAAACATAGAGAGACGATAAACAATAGCATATAACGAATGACAATTAACTCTTCTTTCATTTTCTACTCCAATGTAATTAGTTAATACATTTTGGGCCTTTCTTATCTACTAATTTCTTCTCGGATTTTGTTATATACTAAAAAAATTGGGGCTTTTCTATTTACCAAGTTTTTATGAGCTACTACTATATACTAAAAAAATTGGGCTTGGGCACCTGCCCGTCCCTCCCTCCCCAAGGGACGACCCTATCCTTCCACTAACTAGATTTCACTTTGAACAATGAGAATTTAAACATACTATTTTTATTTAGATTTGATATGGATATCAATTGTTTTTAGCTCCAACATATTTTTTATGTCAATTCCTTTTTACAGTTGATATAGCTATGAGTTATTTCTCTATAACCTAAACATTCTTTGTTGTTTTTTTGAAGTTCATACTAAACCACTTTGACAGTTAGAAGCCGTGGAATGAACTCTAAAGCAAGTGTGTTCCTTTGCACTAGTTTGTGCCTGTGCGATGCAAGATTTTATCGTGAACCGAAAATTAAGAATTAATTCAATCTCTCATCAAAAAAGAAAATTCGAAGTTTATGTTTGTATATAGAATTTACATGTGATAGTTGAACATATATTGCTAACTTAAAGGACCAATAAAATAAAACCTGAAAAAGCCATAGATATTGGCGTCAAGTTAAACATTACAAAATTTTAGGGTTTTGTTATAATTCTTCAGTTAAGTTTTTTTAATTAAAATCTAAATATTTTAGATTTAGAAATAAAGATGTAATTTATATTAGGCAGATCCGTTTGCAACTCCTTTGGAAATATTACCTGAATGGTATTTCTTTCCCGTATAGTTTGTGATGAAGTAATTCTTTATTTGGATAAAGATAATGGTAGATTCTGTCGGATTAGCAGAGCTTAATGATTATCTGGTAACTGAATATGTTTATCAATTAGTTATTAGCTAGTTTTATAGAGTTGAAAGAACTTTAACAAATTGTAAGTAAGCAATAATTATTTGTAAACTTGAAATTTAAGGGATTATGCATTACTAGGCAGTGCTAATGCTTAATTGGTTGTTTTTAAGCTTCTACCTAAATGCCTTATATATAGTATATATAATTTGCAAATAGTATAAGTCCTCTTATGCATAAAAACCCTCCTGTGCATGATGCTTGTATGCACATGCACATTTTCATTAAATTTGTTTAATAATAATAGTGATAAACTTTCTTCATCAATTATTATTCAATTCTGGGCAGTTAATTTCGGTGCTATAGTGGTCCAGTTGCGGTCCGTGGAGGTTAGAGAAATAGCATGGACAAATGGCGGGTATAATATGGTACCGCTTACCGCTATTTGACTGCAATTGAACCCAAAATAGCGGCCGATATCATCGTTATTTTTTTGTGAGGGCTATTTTCTTATTAAGCGGGTTTTTTTTGGGATTCTGTTTGGGTCATGGCCTAGGAGGACAATAATTAGGTTTTCATTTCCACTGGTAGGTTTCCAATTCGGCAATTCCACCCTTCCTGTTCAAACTTCCACGCATCCACGTTCAGTGCTCCACGCTTCAACAATTCACTTGTCGACCTTTTTTGTCAATGGTTGGACTTAGACACCACCTTTTTTGTCAAACTTCCACTCGTTGGAGACGAGCAAAGAAGCAATCGTTGACTGTTCGTTGGAGTCTTGGAGAGAAGAAGCAATAGAAGTTGAAAAGCCTTATTAATTCACTGGTGTGGTATTGAATTGATGTAGGCAGAAGAATAAGAGTCTGGGTTTCATATGTCGATTCTGTTTCCATAATAATATTAGGGTTTTCTTAGTTTAAAAAAAGGAAGGTTATTTATAAAGGAGAAGAGATGAACGCCTCTAGACCGGCCCACCAGCCCCACCGCTTCATGGCCCGCCTCACCCACCAAGGTGCACGTACAATCTGGTCTCTTAGAGGCGGCGCCTCATAAACGTTTTTGGCCCGAATCGCCCTGAGGCGCGCCTCAAGGTGCACGCCTCTAGTGTTCTTTAAAACAGTGGGGATGATAAATTATAGTAAGCAGGCTTTTAAGATATTCAGGCATAAAAAATGTGAACACATTCTGAAAGTACTTTTCAAGTCTCACTAAATAGGAGGACTTTTTAAACTAGTCCAAAAAGAATTGCTTATAAACACAAGGTAGACAATATGAGACACGAGATAAATGAACAGGGACAATCAGTTGAGATTGTGCAAGCATGAGATCGTAGGCATATGATTACTATGACAATTTGATTGGGTTTTTTTCTGTGAAAATTTATAAGATCTTCTATTTCTATGCGATTCCTTTTTTTTCACTTAACCTATTTTTTTATCTTCTGTTTCACCAACTATTTTTATTTTTGATATGCAGGGCTGTAGATAATCAGGTATGCTACTAACTCTGTAGTTTGTATCGACTGCACTTACCGATGTTTGCTTCTTACCTAGTTGATAACAGATCAGTGCAATTCAAAGAGTTGGCAGTCCTTTCATAAATGTCGATGTCTTGATGCAGTGTGGACTACTCTCTTTTGCCTGCAATAGTATTTTATAATACATGGCAAAAATGATCATTGTCTACACTTGACCTGCATGTTTCTGAAGCAATTCTATACCCAATTGCACAAGAAAAGGAATTGATAACAGGAAAACAGAATGCTTTATTGATTCTTGCTCAACTTTTGAGAGGTTGGCTCTCTCCCCTTGCTTATGCAGGAAACAACAAAATTCAGATACCTCCTCGCCCTTCTCCCCTACTATTATTATAGCTACACCTCCACTACAAACTAAGGCCAACTGTGACGCCCCATCGCGCTAACTCCAACTAATTCCCCAATTGGAAATTCCCAAACTACCCTCTCCTCGTCCTAGAATACACAAAACATGTTTCAGGTCTAACAATACCTACAAAATGCAACTGTTTGAAAACAGGACATTATACATCAATTTATAATAGACCATGAGAAGTAAGCGACATTTTTTTCTTCAATTGCTTAATAGCATGATAATGGCTTGCTAGAGGAGTAGCAAGTGTATCTGGACAACAAGAGATCAATTTTTTAGAAAGATAGAGAGTAGACTGATGAAATTAGATACAAGTAAGGATCATAGCAGATAAACTACAACACACTTGAAAGTCTTGTGTGGTTGAGAAGTTCCGTTGAAGTTGAAAGGCAAGTCTGTAGGATGGCTATAAGATCTGCTAGATGTATGCACCAAATACTTGTACACAAGATGAGTGTTGCAAACCATGTGTAAGGATTTGTAAACTACTGTGGACGAGCGAGGGGTGGTGGGAGAGGTAGAGGGTAGATGAGGAAGGGTAAGAGAGTCAATAATTTGGTTTACAGAAGGTTTTTTTTGGGGGGGGGGGGTTCTTTTGCGATAATCAGGACTGCCATTCTTCTACTGTTCTTCGTTTTTACGGTCTATTTTACCGTGTTTTCTTCTATGCTTTCATGGTACTTGTTTGTTTTAACATTGTTCTCTTTTTGCTTGCTGTACTTGTTCTACTTATCTGAATGCTTCATACGTTACTAAAAATATCTCGAACCCTTCTTTATTTCAAAATCTTTTCTCGCTATTTTTAATACAATCTGGGGGTCTTATGGAATCAACCTCTCTACCCCAAGCGCTTCTTCCGAGCATAACATATTGGGGTTGGTTTGGTTGGTTTGGTATGAGTGTTGCAACCATGCTAATTTTTGGTGACAGTACACGGGAGAAGGATGGAGTGGACCTGTTAAGCAGAAGCTGAGGCAGCACTGCTTAAGATGGCTTGGTGATCTTTGACGTAGGGCCTGTTTTATAAAACTGAATGAATAAGAGGTCTGAATTGATTTAAGGCTGTCGGAAATCAATAAATCATGAAAAATGATTACTTGTAACAAGTGTATGACGAAAAACGAGAAGTATGTGACGAAAAACGAAAGGTGTAATTTTAATGACACAATCGTTAGTTTTAACCGTTTCTAAACTTTCGAAGAGTTATCACATTATACATTGTTTGATTTTATCGATGTATGTATAATCTTTTAAAAAACATTATTTGTAAGATATGATTATGTGTTACATGTATTCAAGTTCCAAACTTAACACACATGAATTATCGAGCTACTCAAAATAGATTTTTTTTTACTTCATTGAGATGGACTGGTTGGACCAAAGGTGTTAGATACCACCATCTTAGGAAAAATGGCATTTAGCTTATTGAAAAAACATAGCCATTTGTTGATGCCCTTTACCACACTTGAATTTAAAAAAGAATTATCAACTTTATGGAACTTGGTTTTTGTGCATTAGTATTTCTGGTTTCACACCATGACGGCCGAAAGACTTATCCGGCTATTCACTCGATGCTTAATCACTATGAATTTTGTGACAGTTATATGTAGCAACTTGCTCTCCTGCTCGAGATGCTGGGTCTGGATATGTGGCATGGGGCCATTCGACCCTTGTTGGACCAGTAAGTTTGTCAACCTCATCCTTCTCTTTTAAAGTTGTACAAATAGCCTAATGTATGGCTTACCTTTTTTTTAGCCTTGGTCATCTTTCCATTCACATCTTTAGCCTTAGATTTTGTTTCCTTTTTCCTATTCGTCTCCTTTTTTCAAATTGTTCAGACTTTCTGGGAAGATTTCTTTTTCGCACACTTTTTGCATGCAGGGGCGTTCACGGAAACAACCGCTCTACTCTCTGCATACATACCTAGGGGAATATACTGGGCTCGTTTGGTTTAGTTATCTGTTGGTACTTGTGGGTGATTTCTGTGTTATTTATGTTCAAACTGATGGAACTTGTTTGATACGTGATAGTTTGGAGAGATTTTGGCTACTACAGAACACGAAGAGGCAACCATCATATCAGAGATTGATTATTCAGTACTTGAGCTAAGGAGGTAAAACTCGACTAGTAAATGTTCTCAAAAATCGATTATATGTTGCTTATGAACACGTGTTTTATATACGCTCAGGACCAATCTCCCACTACAGAAGCAACGTCGTGGTGACCTTTACAGCTTGGTCGATGTTCAAAGGTTAAATTCTCAATGATTGCTGCCATATTTTGTAATTCAAATCTATCGACTTTTCTTTCTCCAAAAATAAAAAAGTTATCGACCTTTTAACTTAAGTCGGGTATGTGTGTATTTAATCGTTGAAGTAAAATCTGGTGTGAGCTGTTGTAGCTTCTTGTATCGCACTTTTACTGATACTCATTCCTTATGGAAATGGTGATGCCTTCTTTCTTCCAGCCTCTTTTTAGGTCAAAATGGAGCTCTCATGTTATCTATGGCTTTTAGGTCAAAATTTACTATTGTTTTTAGGGTAAGCTACATTTTTTGTCCATGTGGTTCGTTAAAAGTTGCTATATTCGTCTGTGGTTTTTTCGTACCTCTGGTTTATATATGTCATACAGGCCCGTTCATGATATTTTATAGACTCTGGGCACCTCTTATAGACTCTGGACGAGATGAAAAAGGGTCCTCGATAAGTATGATTTTTGTAATATATTGTTTGTATCATCAAAAATAACATTGAGTTCAAGAAAATACTAATAATTCATATAAAACCGTTTTCCAAGTATTTCTAAACGTAAAGTCAATCAATAATTGTTGCTATATTAATGTTATTTACCATATTATTTTTATATGGCTTCGTCAGTTCGTTCCACCATAAAAAAAGCAACCCATGACATACTTTTAATATATAAATTGACATAATTTGGGGTCACAATATTTGACTATTTGAAGTAATATTCTATGTAAATCAATATAAATCAGGCTTTCCATCTCATATCTTGTTAATGATTTCATTACCATTTTAAACTTTTCGGGTTAAAATAATTCTTTTTGGAACAATCAATCTTAGAATTAAAAGCCTATGTTGATTATAATTTGAGTTCTTATTCTTGTTTTAAAGATAGGAGATTACCTAATATTTATGCATTCAATCTATATCTATGTACATATTAAAATAAGAACCATGAGTGTTTGAGGTGGCATCATGAGAATAGTGTATTGAGGTGTTGATGAATTGTGGTTGAGTTTGAGATATCTCACATTGGTGAAGAGTTGAAAGATTTGAAGAAAATGAAGTCTATAAGAAATGTGGATTGGATGTCTATGTCCAATAATGGGTTTGCCTTATAGAGTTGTCTTTCTTTGGATGACCTTCTTTGAAATCTATAACCATGATTGGGATGACAATCAACCAAATGGAAAAAAAAACTTTATCTTTATATATATAAAAGAAAACCTTGGGGTATTGAGGTGGCACTATAGAATTGAGTATTCTCATATGATGAATTGTAATTGAGTTTTAGTCGTCCCACATTGATAACTAGTTGAAAATTTTGAATAAAGTGAAGTGTATAAGAAAAGTGGATTGAATGTCTTTGTGTCAAATCATGGAGTTTGCCTCATAAGATTGTCTTATTTTGGATGATCGTCTTTGAAATCTATACCATGGGTGGAATCAAAACCAATTAAATGGTAAAAATTAAAGTGCAAATATAAAAGTGAAACCAATGATGATGAATTGGCAACATGAGGTTTGAGTGTTCCTCAAATCTGAAATAAGGTTGATTTTCATCATCTCACATTGGTAGACAGATAATGGTTGGGAAGAAGATGATGCATGTATAAATGCGAGATAGAGCTTTGAAATCTATAGACATGGTTGAAATTAAATCAACCAATTGGTAAAACATTTGTGCAAAACGAATGCAAATGATACATTTTTTTTCTTAACAAAATTTGTTATTATTGCAGTAGTTATAATAACAAATGTAGCCTAAGTATCTATTATATCACTTATATATAGAATGAAAGTGTTGACTTAATGACGCGCTTTCATCTTATTTAAGTATTCTCCGAATCGTGATTAACGGTGTTGGACGAGACTTTATAAATATAAACACGATCCTGAGTTTTCAGACACATCGCACTTCCGCTCGAGTCGAGGATTTTACATTTTTTTCTTAAATTGAGTTTTGATCACCGAACAAACCAAGAGATATTGATGTGAAATCATGAGAATTGAGTACTGAGATGTTGAAGAATTATGTTTGAATTTGTGATATCTCATATTGGTGAGAGATTGAAAGATCATAATAAAGAGGTATGTATAAGTAAGAATGATGAGATTCATTGTGTCAACTCATGAAGCTTGATAATAAGGTTATCTTACTTGGATGACCCGATTTTTRTATCATTTCTTTTATATCAATTGACTTTAAAATAACAATGAAAGGTAATAATATGACTTTAGTATATATTTTATATCATAAAGTTGAATTAAAAAATTTAAAATAATATAGCGAACAATTTATTAATAACACTAGTATTATGTAATAAGAAGTCCATATGTATGAAAAAACAAGGGTACTTTTGAGACATAAATATATATATAAGTTGGACTGTCTCATATAGTTAGATAATGTTTTTTTAAAAATGTAGAATTTTTCTTAATTAATAACAAAAATCTACTAAATTCTAATACAAAAATAGAATTCATGCGGATGGAATAATCAAAAGTGTGAGTCGAAGATGAATGATGAAGAATATATCAAAGTTCTCTAAACAAATAGTTTTAGAGTTTATCACTAAGAGTTTATCACTAAATAAAAAAAATTAGAGAAACAATAAGCAAAACGAATGATCAATTAGTTTTTTACATATTTTCTATCCACTTTAATTAATTAGTATATTTTTGGGTCCTTTATATAATACCTTTTTTTTTGTCCTATTAGAGACTAAATTTTTTTGTGTATCTTTTATTTACTAATTTTTTTAAACTAACTATTATACAATTAAAAAATTGGTAAATATTTATTGGGTAAGAGTTTTCAATGTCACTTAGGGGCTGTTTACAAAATGCTTACTTGGTAAGTGTTTACTCGATAAATTTTCTCATCGGATGAACATGATAAAGGACAAGAATCTTACCGGGTAAGAGCGTTGAGAAGAATGAAGAGTCTTACCTGGTAAGTGAAGATGACGACTTTTACCCAGGTAAGCGTTTACCCTGTAAATTGTTGCATTCGATACATTTTGATGTACTAAAATCTTACACATCAAAATAAATTATAGTGTTGACTTCTATCGGTAAGTACTTACCGGATAAACATTTAGGTAAATAACCCCTTAGTCTTACTTATTGGATCAAATTTCTGGTCATGAAAATAAAAATAGCATAATACAAGCTTCTATACCATGTAAATGCTAATTGTGTAAAGTCTTCGCTTATTAGATACGACTAGAAATTTACCCATGCAATACATCGTGGTTATGAAATCTAGAACTCGACTCCTCAATCATGATCCTTACTTTGTTATGTTATTTGTCTTTTCGATTTTAGTTTACGGTTTTGAGAAAGCTAGAGATCGGTTGATTATTATTTTATCTGAATATATATATATATATATATATATATATAGAGAGAGAGAGAGAGAAAGAGAGAGAGAGAGAGAGAGAGAGAGCTTGATTCAAATACTAACCAAGATTTTTGTGTTAACTTTGTTAACCAATCTTGGCATTGATTCTTACAATAAAGGGTTGTGATTAATCATGATTAAAAATTAAAATTTTAAATTTACAATTTCAAAGAATATATGTGAACAAAGGGAAAAAAGGTATTTAGGTAATTTTCTTTTTTTATGTAACTCCCATATCATTAATTAGGAGTTACAAAATCAAAAAGTCTCATTATTTTTATTAATTTATTTTTATTAATGTAAGAACCATAAGAACACACATACACATGAATTATTGTGTCAAATACGAATAACAATTGACATATATATGAACTTAGACTGTATAGCATTTATGAACACAATATAAATATAATAAGAATAGTAGTTACACGAAAGTAAATAAATAAATAAAACAGGTATGAACACAATATGAACAGTTTGTGAACAATAGTTCCTTCATTATGAACACATTCAGGAGCAAGCCAATGTTGAGATATGCAGCTAGTGTACATATGAACAGTTTGTGAACAATAGTTCCTTCATTATGAACACATTCAGGAGCAAGCCAATGTTGAGATACGCAGTTAGTGTACATATGAAGACAATATGAATAGTTTGTGAATAATAGTTCATTTATTATGAACACATTCAGGAGCAAGCCAATGTTGAGATACGCAGCTAGTGTACATATGAACACAATATGAACAGTTTGTGAATAATAGTTCATTCATTATGAACACATTCAGGAACAATCCAATGTTGAGATATGCAGCTAGTGTATATATGAACACAATATGAACACTTGTGAACAATTCTTTAACAATTACATATGAATTCGAATTCCGATTGTAGTCGTAGACGATTTTAACCTTTTCATTCTCATTGTTGTCGATCTGTTTTCCAATAGGTTTACCCATATTATTCGGACGATATCGAAATCTTTACAATCGGAAATTCTTTAACAATTACAAAATCAATATCATTATGGATAGAATAAATCGAAATTACAAAACATGAACACGTATAAAAAAATATCAATATTACATAATTATCAATTATTGAGATTTTTATATTTGTAACTCCCAATTAATGATTTGGGAGTTACATAAATGACAAATTACTTAATTACCTTTGTCATTAATATATGAGTTATATATGAACCTAAAGAAAAGATGAAATATGATTGGTTGAGCTTGGTTAACAAAGTTAACACAAATAATTTGGTTAGTATTTGAACCAACCCTTATATATATATATATATATAGAGAGAGAGAGAGAGGAGCGATCAAATGAAAACCACTCCAATTTGTAAAAACCGTAAAAACTACTCTCATCCATCTTTAATCTTATGAAATTTTTTCATGAAATTGTTAATCTTGTGAAATTGTTTCATATAATACTTTTTTTGATGAAGTTGTTTCATATGTGGGTATGAAATTGTTTCATATACTACTTAATGGAATTTTAATGAAACTGTTTCATGTATTTCTCTAAAATTAAAATAATGAAGATGATAATATCCATGATTAACACTCTCCACAATAAAAATGGCTAATCAACCTCTCATAATTACAAAAAAATAAACAAAATGAAAAATTATGATTGGTTGAATGAGGTTTTCACGGTTTTTACAAATTGAGTG